ATTATATTGGTTATACCTCACATTGCTAAGCAGCACATCCATCTGCATGAAGAAGAGCAGGGGCGTCAACAGGCGGACTTGACGTAATGCATGGGTCATCGAAAATGCTGAAGAGATTCGATTGTTGATCATTACATTAGGTGATGCGTAAAAGTACAATGCTTTGACCATTTACAATAGTTAGGACATATCCCCATATGTTTGCGGGTAGTATAGACAAAGGGTTAGTTGACTCTGTCATAGACCTTCTCTAGGTTGAATAACGACATGGCCATGTTAAAGTTCTCCTAAAAAATAATATCCCCCAACTCTATCACGTCGACAATATTATCTATGATTGATCGACCCCTTACAAAGGCTCCTTGATTACACACGTTCTAGATTTGGAAGATATTATGTCAGTCTGATAGGCAATGTTATTGTGAGGAGTTCATACACGGTGGTGAACAAGGAGATGGGTCGCCACTTCTGGATATTGTTCATTTTTTTGAACAAAAGTGCAATAATTCTCTTTATCAATTTCAGAGAAATGGAGAAATATGGGTTGCCTGCAAGGACTGTGTTGTAAATTATAACAAGATCATAATAAAATAGGTCCCAAAGACAAAAAAAGAACTCAATTGGAAGATCGTCTTCGCTAGACGCCTTACCCTTGGCCATGTAATGTACCACATGCATCAATTCATCATCCGTCATAGGTCTGCCTAAAGTCAATCTGCCTTGCGGCAGGACTCTAGCTGTAGTAGAGTCCCCGAAGGAGGAGATCTAAGTCAGGTCCTTATCAGATTCATCCACATGTTTTCTTGATGTCAATATATCCTGAAAGTTTGCAAGACGACGTAATGATTCTAATGACACATCCCTCCGGTCGCAGATGTCAGGCTAAGGTTAAGGTCAAATGGATGTGCAAGTTCTTTTATGATCCTATGTTGAGGTGACTGACGTTTTTCCAATTCAAAGGTTTTTTTTATCATTAAACCACCAGTACGTTTCCCCGCTTGAGAAACAATACTCCAACCGTTAACACGGGGAGGTAGCAGACCTCAACCCGCGAACACCCGGTCGCAGGGAATTCTAGAAAAAAAAGCAAAACAAAACTAAATTTAACGTTAAAAAAAAAAAAGATGTCCTGGCGCGTGGATGTATATATATATATATATTATATATATAAAGGGAGAGAGAGAGAAAATAAAAAATGCTCGACGATTTCTTTCTCTCTCTCTCTCTGCTCCAACCTAGCTCATGATAAACCCACCAACTCTTCTCTCTCTCTCTCTCTGGTTTAGAGTCCGCCTGGTACATATGAAGCAAATTCAGAATGAATCTTCCCCTCGAATGCGGGAAGTTTCGTTCTCTTTTTTCAACACAAGGAGGGGGAGAGAGAGAGAGAGAGAGGGGAGAGAGAGAGAGAGAAAGAGAGAGAGAGAGAGAGAGAGAGAGAGAGAGAGAGAGAGAGAGAGAGAGAGAGAGAGAGAGAGAGAGAGAGAG